TCCTGAAGAACACAGAAGATAAAGGATAGGATATTTATTGAGAATATAGAATTCTTCTGATGTTGAAATATAGTTTTGATGAACTGAAATAGAATGAAATAAAACTAGAAAGATGGATTAGATAAGTCTTACAACAGGGCCCTAAGTGCCATGTTGAGAAATTTGTATAAAATGTAGAAGGGCATGGAGGCCCCATCAAGTTTTTGGTGGTAGAGAATGCTACACTTTAAATATATGTGATGATATATTTGTTCTATTAATGATATTTTTTACAGAAATATTATCATTATTATCATTAATTAAATTCTGTCATAAAAGTTCCCTTTATTATGTAAGGATAATTTCATTAAATCTCTCTTAAATCCTTTTTGCTTTTAATTAATGTTTTCATAGATTTCAGAGCAGGACTTCAGAAGCTGCTAAACTTGAAGCTGAAGTAAGCAAAGCACAAGAGACAATCAAAGCTGCAGAACTCTTAATTAATCAGCTTGACAGAGAACACAAGAGATGGAATACACAGGTTTGTTTGAAAGAGGAGTCATAAAGAGTCTTCCTTTAAAACTGTGGTCCCAAACCCCTGGATTGGGCCGCAGACCAGCGTTGGTCCATAGCCTGTTAGGAACCTGCCGCACAGCAGGAGGTGTGTGAGCGAAACTTCATCTGTATTTACAGCCACTCCCCATTGCTCACATCGCTACCTGAGCTCCACCTCCTGTCAGATTAGCGGTAGACTTAGATTCTCATAGGAACACGAGCCCTACTGTAAACTGCACATGCAAGGGATCTAGGTTGCGCACTCCTTATGAGAATCTAATGCTTGATGATCTGAGGTGGAGCTGAGGCAGTGATGCTAGCACTGGGGAGCAGCTACACATACAGATTATCATTAGCAGAGAGATTTGACTGCCTAGAGACCATCATAAATCAATTACTTGCAGACTCATATCAAAACCTTATCAGTGAGTGGCAAGTGACAATGTAATAATAATAGAAATAAAGTGCACAATAAATTTAATGTGCTTGAATCATCCCAAAACCATCTCCCCTGCCCCAGTACATGGAAGAATTGTCTACCATGAAATTGGTCCCTGGTACCAGAGAGGTTGGGATTGCTGTTTTAAATCATAAAAAACCTATAATGTAAAGTATTTGTTTGAAAAAAGAAAAGGAGAGAAAAATATCCATTAATTTGCAATTGGCTTAGGGTAAATGATCTAGATGTAAATGGCCCATCATGTGAATTAATCTTTAAACAAATATCTTTATATGAATAGATGGTAGGCAAAATAACCTATTTTCCTTTTAGTAACCAATGTTATTCAGGGGAGGTACAGGATGAAAATGAATTGATGGAGAATTTTGTACTCTTTAGAGATTTTTTAAAATTTATCTTCACCAGGACAATAATTTTAGGATTTGACACTGTTGGTTATTTATTTCTTCTTCAAATACTCTATGATTTTAACTTTGTTAGTCTTGTCTTTTGCTTTTTTTTCTTTAACCAGTTAGATTCCTTCCCTCACCTGATCTTCCTCTTCTGCTCACCCAGTAATGTTGATTGTCTTCATTATTCCCTTCCTCACCAATTTTTCTTGTAACTATTTTGAGATTTATCTCATCCAGTTTTAATATCACCTATATCATGATGATAACCAGAGCTATACTTCTAGACTGCTCAGTTTTAAATTTATATTTTCAACTATACTTTAGATATTTGTATTAAGTTGTCTCTCAGGAACTCAAACCCAACCTGTCTGAATTAACTTACTTTCTTTTTCTCATTCCATGTCACTTATTTCCTATTTCACTGAAGGCATTTTTCTTCTGGGCATCAAAACTAAAAATGTGTGGGTTGTCTTAGACTCTTCCTTGTTTACTCATCATATCCATTTGCAAATATTCTATATATTTGTCTTCCATCTTTAATCCAATCCTTTTCTTTTCTCGTCTGGATTTTTAAAAACTTGTCTTCCTCCTAGCTGACCCTTGAATTAGTCCATCCTTCATTTGTCATCTGAATGAATCTTTCTAAAACCCAATCTGATTATGTTACTCACTGCCCACTTAAACACTTTCAATGGCTCATGCCACAGGTTAAAACAGAAATTCCTTTGCATGTCATGGGAATCCTTTCACATCTACCTACAATCAACTCTACCTCTCTCTTTTCATTCCTTTTATGTAATTACCATTTCTGGTGAATCTTATGCTTTATTCATACTAACTGTTCCCTAATGAGTTTTGATGCTTTACTTTTGTTTTGTGCCTTTGTTCATACTCTATGTCTTGATTTTGCTTTACAAAGTGATTGCAAATTCACATTTTACTGTGGTTGGAATGAAATTTCTCCTTTCATTATGATCATTAGAAACTTTCAATGACAAAATGTTTGTTTCTACAAATATATTAGGATTTTATACTTTTTAAAAATACCACTGTAGGATATGAGGTCTTTTTGATATTTTTACATGTTGTTGTATTCAAAACAAAGGGTTATTACTTAAACCAATATATGATTTTTTTTTCCACAGTCAAAACTATACAGCTGTCATTTTCTTCCATGTTAAAACACATCCATACACATTTCTGCTCCCACCTCCCACCAGGTTGCAGAGATAACAGAGGAGTTAGCTACTCTGCCTAAAAGAGCTCAACTGGCTGCTGCATTTATTACATATCTTTCTGCTGCTCCTGAGTGTCTGAGAAAAACCTGTTTGGAAGAATGGACCAAGTCAGCTGGTCTTGAAAGTTTGTATTTAGTTATTCATTAATTTGAAATTTCAGTATACTAAAAATGCACCTTTTGACCTTTTTGTTTTACTTTTTTTAAATGGTGGAAATTTTCTGTGAGTTACAAGGATAACATAGCTCCTTTAGATTTGCTGAATTCCACAAATGTTCTGGGAATTGTTTTGTT